AGGGAGAGAGAGAGAAAGAGAGAGAGAAAGAGAGAAAGAGAAAGAGAGAGAGAGAGAGAGAGAGAGAGAGAGAGAGAGAGAGAGAGAGAGAGAGAGAGAGAGAGAGAGAGAGAGAGAGAGAGAGAGAGAGAGAGAGAGACACTCACAATTAAGTCACCATAATACACATTTTAGAATTTGACTTTTTTAACCTCAATCCATGTCAACGTTTGATAAAAGCTTAGAAAACGCTTAAAATCCATTGAACAAATCCAAACACCTTCTCGTATCGATTAAGATAATAATCGATTTGGATTAATAAGTTAAAAAAACATCATATGTTTTCTCTTGTAAATAACAGAGGCCAATAGATTGTAAGAGGCTATATTTACAATTCAATACGCGAATTGACGTTTTTTGTAGACTGTCGGTCTTTGCTAGCTGGTGAATATTTAATTTACGTAAGAGTACGAAGAATATCATAATTGAATAAATGACAGATATATTAATTCACGTCTAGATAGACAGCTATGAGGTAGTCGTTGACCCAAATAATCATGTAATTGAATGGAATGGTGTAGAAATGGCCAAAGAAAATGTTAGTTATAGGGACAAGGTTTTTAGTAACAATATGTGTGTATTAGTGTGTCACAGTGCAGATAATCCTGGTAACTAACAATACACAGTGTGTTGTAGGTTTAGGCATTTGACAATACACCGTGTATTGTTAGCGAGCTTTCAACAATACACTGTGTATTGTTGAACACCTTCTAACAATACACTGTGTATTGTAGTAGGTACCTATGAGCTTTCAACAATACACTGTTTATTGTTGAACACCTTCTAACAATACACTTTTTTATATTTTTTAATTAGTTTACTTTTTGATTTGTAAACTTGAAATTTACATTTATTTAAATGAATTTATTGAAATTATTTGATTGATTTTATTGAATTTATTGAAAATGAAATTGAATTTAAATACACAGTTGTTAGGTACTTACTACAATACACAGTGTATTGTTAGAAGGTGTTCAACAATAAACAGTGTATTGTAGAAAGCTTATAGGTACTTACTACAATACACAGTGTATTGTTAGAAGGTGTTCAACAATACACACTGTATTGTTGAAAGTGTATTATTAGTTACCATGATTATCTGCACAGTAAATTATTACCGGGGGCAAGCTCCACCTGTTGGCACATACATGCAGACATGCAGACAATAGTTTTGGTAATAGCATAACAAGTTACCCCGTACATTGGAGACGCTAGAATACAGTTGCCACGTCAGTAGAATCGCGAACGAAGCCACCATGCTCACGAACCCGTATCTTTTCCGTAGAAAAGCTTTCATCTGTAAATTAGTAGTTATATAAATTACTAGTATTAAAACATGCGCACACATGTGTGTTCGGAGACGGCCAGCGTGTACGTGGGCGAGCGCGCGCTCGTGCGTGCGTGCGTCCGTGCGTCCGTGCGTGCATACTTGCGTGCGTGTGGAACTAGCACTAGCGGCTGCAGTTCACTAAAAACTACACATAATTGCCTAGAAATGTATATTAAAAAATATTTTTCGGACTGCTAAGTCGTATAATTAAGAAACTATCAATTCAACTATATTCCAAAACTCCCCGATCCAAAACTCCAAACCTAACTGGATAATTTATCGTTATCGTTATCGTTACATTTATAGTAATAATGGTCATAGCCATAGTGACCAAGCCGACACTTTAACTTGGTGAGTTGCTAATCAAGGCCTTACCGCATTCAGTGCAGCGATGTAGACAACGTGATCGCATCTCGTCCCCGTTTCCATCCTGACGCTCAGAAGACTGCTATCCTATGCAAACCGCACCTGATTATGCACTGGATAGCAAAGATGATCGCGCAAGAGAATATGCCGAGCAATACATGCAGCACTGCGATATCGCGAAGACGATTGCCTAGAAATATCGCTACGCTGACTTGCTTGTCTGTAGCATGCAGGTAAACTATACGGTGCTTGCTCCCGTACGCTCTCATTCAGGTAGTGGCAGCTATTGCGATGGGTGTGCACAAGCAGCGCCAGACCACGTATAGCGTGACGAGGTGAATAAACTCGCACAATAACTCACGAGATTTATCACATGGCAAGCATGACCGGTCTGCGGTAGCACTACCGGTATATCCGTGATGGCAACGACTGTGTAAGCTCTATTGTCTACAGTCAAACCTGTAAAGAAGGGCAAATAAAGGGCAAGCGTAAAGATGGCCTTTTTAGACAGCGGACCGTTTTATAGAGGTAGTCTTACTTTATAACTGCCGCTCATAGAAACGTCACAAGTTTCATTTATAGACAGGGATTCGTTCCATGAAGGCGTCCGTTACCACAGGTTTTATTATAGAGGTAATAGGTGTTTAAAACTACCTGGGCCAAGAACAGGCCCATAAGCAATCTCTTATTCAGTGCAGAATCTGCAATACCTCATATTACAAACTTCCAATGAAATAATATCGGTAAATTTCCTGTAAATAAAAAAATATTAAACTCTAGGCAAAGCGGGCACAGCGTCTTCGTCAGTGTCAGAGGCACATAGGGGTCTACTGCAGATCAGCAACGCATACGTTTGTATTTACTGTCTAGACCATAGCAATACAAAAGGGTTTGTGAAGTATAGGATTTTCTAAAAGCGTTTTATTAAATAATTAAATGCTCTTCCAAAACACCCATATTATTGTGTGTGTGTGTGTGTGTGTGTGTGTGTGTGTGTGTGTGTGTGT